CTCATTTTACCCACCTCGGAAGGATGGAAGGCTGAGTCAACCCTGAGCCGGTGAGATTTGAACCGCTGACCTGCTGATCTAGCAGTAGCCTGCAGTGCTGCATTTAACCACTGCGCCACCTTGGCTCCACTAGCTGGGTTTGCACACCAGGTTACATTAAAATATAATGGAGTTAAACACTGTTTAGTTCAGGGTGTTGTAGGAAGCCTAGCTATCCCCTTAGGTTTTGCAAAATGGGTCATTATGTTTACAGATTACAGATTAACAGAGTTAGAAGGACCCAAGCAGAAGATCTTACTTTTCTCTACAATGAATTTCATTTCCTTAGATAGGGCCCAGTGTTCAAGTCTGTCAAGATCCATCTGGATCTTGAGCCTATCTTCTAGGGTGTTGGCTATTCCTGCCGGCTTAGAATCATCTGCAAATTTGGTAAATTCCCCTTCTATTCCCTCATCTATAGGAATATATTGAAGAGTACTGGGCCTAAGACAGAACCTTGTAGTACCCCACTGTTTACTTCCCTCCATGTAGATGTAGACCCATTAAGGACTCTTCGTTGAGTATGGTTTGTCAACCAGTTATGAATCCATCTGGTGGTGATGCTAGGTATCCCAGTTTTTTCTAGGTTACCAAGAAATAGCTTGTGGTCTACTTTGTCGAATGCCTTGTCGAATGATAAGCCATGGTTGAGCACGCCACAGGATCATGACATGTTGTGGCGGGCAGTGGCTCACACAGTTATGATGCTGGTTTGGAGGTTAGCAAGCCTGTGTTTGAGACCCAAGTGCAGCTGTATGGCCAGATGAGCTCCTGTCATTTGCTCCAGCTCCCTGATGGGGACATGAAAGGATTCCCCACCGGCATTTCTCAGGCAACAGTGATGTCTTAAGATACTATGAATCTCAAGATTCTGGACTACCAATTTGCATTACTGCTAGCTAATTAAGTAGGAAGATTGGCCCAATCTTCCTCAGTGGTGGGTTTCAAAAATTTTTGGAACCTCTTCTGTAGGTGTGGCCTGCTTTCTGGGTCCACTGGTGGAACCTCTTCTAACCGGTTCAGTAGATTTGACGAACCGGTTCTACCGAATAGGTGCGAACTGGTAGGAACCCACCTCTGATCTTCCTACTTAACAATAGCTGTAGCAATGTTTTCTAAGGAACCTCAAGGAGATTACATCAGAGGGCATTTTAATACGTCTTATCCTGAATCCGTAACACAGGGAAATTTGTGGAATAAATCTTTGCCATTTCTTCACCCCAAGTATCACTTATTACCACTCTATTCAGGAAGTCCATCCAAGGAGGCTTTGGGGAGAGTACAGGAGGACTAGAAAGCTTCCTTTGGTGAACATCTCAAATCTTAACCAATCTTAGAGGTCCACTCAGCAGTGAAATCTAGATTTTTTCATACCTGTGGGTGTGGCTTGGAGGTGGTCATATGACTGGGTGGGCATGGCCAACTTTTGTTCATCTTTTAAAGCATTTTTTTTTCCTGCCAGTTCAGGCGAATAAGCTGAGATGTGCAATCCTTGGAAGCTTTTTTTTTAAAACCTACCAGTTTGCAGAACCAAGAACATTTGTCCCTACTGGTTCAGCCGAACTGGGCCAAACCGGGAAGATTTCACCCCTGGGTCCACTGGATTTGAACAGTTGCATGAGATGAAGGA